AAATACATGTAGTGTTGCACTTTTCTAATTATTCTTAGGTTTGCTTTGGAGTGGGCATTAAACCGTGGTAATGAGAAGGCGTTATTAGTTTCTATGTTTGCGAATATCTGCTAGTTGCAAGCTTATGTATGTTGCTCGTCAGGTGCTCAACATCCCAAGCCGCATGTCATTTATTACGATTGAAAAATGCGACAGTATTAAGATCAAAGTGAGTTCTTGCATATTCCGTGCCGATAAGACTGAGATGCTACCAGCCGTCCACTTTCGTGTAAATTAACGAACAAATCTTCGTTTCCCATGCGGATACTTATTATCTACGATTATCTACGTGTACCTCTGTCTCTAAACTTTTTAATTTCTTTATGTATTTTATTTAGCCTATCAATTTTTTTTAATCAATCGCATCATTGAAAAAATACAAACAAGTAAACATATCTTTTTTCTACTTAATTCTGAGGAGATAGTAACATCAAACAATATCAGGACCTCTCGCCTATCCACTCTTATAACAGATGTTGAATTTCAAAATTTTCCTTGAGATGAGCCCGATAAACATTCCCAAAAGAGGATTGTATAAAAAAGGCAGTTTCGACTGTCTTCGCCCGGCATGCAATGAACATTTTTACTGCTGTAACTGGAGATTCACGGACGGTAAGTTTATGAAAGAAAGCGGAAAGCCTTTTACCATCGAGTTGACTCGCAATTCAAGGACACCTACAATCAACTCTCGCCCTACGAACACCTCGCTATTACAGACACCCCGCCATTGCGAACAAGGGCCCGCCCCCCGGCGAAACGCATAAAGAAATGATTGAAGTAAACTCCCGTTATTACAGACACGGAAATGCGACACTTTTATGCTCCCAGCGCGAAATTTCCCTTGTTTTTTCTCTTGCTATAGTGGGCAGTACGTCCAAATCCTAGCTCATGTGATAAAAAGCGAAATTAAGATAAAGGAAAACAAAGAAACCCTTTCTTCTATTGGGTGCGAGTATGAGAATTTCCTGCTCGTAGCCAGATCTTTTTCCGGTTCGTGAGGCCACGTTAAAAACTTTATGTTTGCGTATTAGGCGTCTGCTTAGAGACAAAAGGTTTTTTTTTTTCTCTCGCACTCCACTATTACGGACCCTCGTCATAACGGACACTAAATCTATCTATCTCCTCCCCCCCCTCCCGGGGTGTCTGCAATAGCGGGAGTTGACTGTATAAAAATTGACAAATAAAGCGAAGCTAAGTCAAAAGCATTCTGTTTTAATGTACTGAGAGAGGATATCATCTCTTGCTCTCGTGTTACGAAATCGCACGACTTCTGCTTGGTCCAAGAGGAAACAACAAGGACGAAAATATTGCACATAAATAAAATATTGGCACACTCAATTTCAGATGAAACTGTCAATGATCAGTTGTTGCAAGACCTGTACTTGTTACTAGATATCTGACATTTAACAATTTTCCTTGTAGTTAACAAGTACTTATGTTCTTTTGGTTGTGACAGTGTACCGTTTACGTGCGAGTAAGCTCTATGTCCTTCAGAACTATGTAAATTTAATAAATATTTCGTTTTTGCTTCCCAGACGTTAAATAATGAATAGCCTTTAAGCAAATTGATGCATTGTAAAGAGTTCGTGAAAGAGAGTAATGTCAACACGATTTCATTCTTGCCGCAGAAATGATTAAGCCATTTGTAGGAGGTTTTCGAAATAAATTCGTTTGGTTTTCATTTCACAACTGCAAATAATTTCCTAAAAGTTTAGCCGGCCACGAATAGACTAATTATTTTGTCAGATTCCTAAAGTGGCTTGGAAAGCTAAGGAAGCTTTAGGAAACTTTAGAGAGAAACATTGCAATTTCATACTAACCCGTTTTTCCTTTATGAATAATTATCTTGCTTTCAAAGAAGAACTCTTTTGGTTTTTAGGATATAAAAGATTATAATTACAAGCAGTTGAAAGGTAATCAGCCAAATAATCTTAAGGAAAAAATAGTGTATGTAGAAACGTGTATGTAACGCAAATTACATTTGGCTTTTTGACAATTTCAATAAGCCACATAATACATTACTTGGAAAAGTGAAAAGGTAAACTTTTAATCAGAGTAGCCTCATACTGTTTCCTGATTACTCTCAAATCACTACCTGATTGGCTGCGATACAAAATGTAATATAAGTTGGTTTGTCAGTTAAAAGGATGTTAATGTAGCTATTTAATGTATAATTCATTAGAAAACTTCGTACAAGAGACAAAAGTTTATCGTCCTCACCATGTATTGTACTTAGGAAGCTTTGTCAGCTTTCGTCAAGTTAGTTATTGTCTATTATTTTACTGTAGTTAAATTTCAGGGATACTTTTTTTTTCAGTAAGGTGCTATTCTCAAAATACTAACTAAAAATCTATCAATCGCTATACGAGACCCTAATATCGAAATCGATATTCGTCCTACTTTGAATTGTGAATATTGACTGATTCAGTTTGTTATCCACGACTTTAGCTACGCTAAAAGTATGAAGAATCCCTCGAAGGTCTGCAAAGTCAAAAACCTTTAATCTGCCAGGATTTTCATGACATCAAAACGATGCACTTAATTGTAAAAGTATTTGCAAGTACACATTGCAGATGGTTAATTAAAACTGAAAACTTTATGGCCGTCATAGCATATGTTCAAAAACATGCTGCAGGGAAAATCGTTGGTAAACTGAAGAATAAAATTTTTTGGACTATGATTTCTAAGAATTTACTCAGTCAGATTGGCTTGAATAAAATCGTTACTACTCTAAAAAGCCAGGCTAAATGAGAGCAATCATGATACTTTGCGTACCTTACAGGTTCCTGTTGTATTACGAGAACACGAAATGAAATTTAGTGAAAGTTTTAAACGCAAAGAGATACTCAGCTGTAGTAGAGGAAACTTTTACCCGAGTGGTATTAGCTAAAATTCAAGCTACAGAGTTTAAAATATTATAAAACAATTGGTCCATCGAGAAATGAAGAATGTGGCAAGAGGTTATAGTTATTGCCGAATATGTCTCGAGCTACGCCATCTTTTGCGCTTTCCAAATTTTCTATTTGTCTCTTATCTTGATGTTTAAACGTCATATCAAAAGATGTTATGAAACAAGGGACCAAGCGAAATATTAAAGAAACCAGTTATGTTAAGTCCTTTTTTGCATAACATTGCCATGATTTTCATTTTTCCCTATGCATATAATACACTGCACCTGTTAGTTGGGGGGTTTTCCCAGGGAACCTATTTATTAGGTACTCTGTACTTCAGTCAGTTTGCCATATATAATTTCAAGAGTTAAAGTTTTTCATTGACAGTGTAACGCACAGCAGGATTCCATTGCTTGGGCAACGTAACCACCACCTATTCTGTCGATAATGCAATAGATCTACTGTAAATATGAAAACTTTATTTACGGCGTCCTGCGGTACTGATATTGATTCAAAATTCTAGGTGTTTCTCTTCGTCAGATTTTTTGCTCTAGAGATGTTACGTAACATTTTACCTTTTATGCATCTTAAATCTTAAACCTTTCTTTAATTAATGTTTTTCAATTGCGCAAACTCACCTTCTTCATTAATTTCGCGTTAAGCCTCCCATCCTTGCCAATTCTCCAACGTTTTTGCACATTCCTCAATCATTGCTATTTTTTTTTAAGTTTTGTTCTATTTTAAGTCAAATTCAGCGAAGCGATCCAAAAGAAGTGACTAAAAATTGAGATAATTAGTTCCTTCAATAAGGTAAGCAAAGAACTGCTTTTTGGCTCAGGAAAGAAAAACAAAAGTATGGTGAAATCATTAAAATGTCATGCAAATAACGTGAGTCTTGCCAGTTCGCAGAGACTTCGGATACAACGATCTTCACCAGAATCACACAAGCTTTTTTTTCTAAATGTGGAAATGGTAACAAACTTCGTCTCGATATTTCCGCAAACCTTTTGGACGATCAGCAAATGGAAAAAAAGATTGGCTCGTGTAAGATTTTCGTGGCACTTGAAAAAACATATCTAATAGTAGAAGAGCATGCAAATGAAAAATTTAAATTTTGGTTAAATCAGCGACAGAGGGGCCTCTTGGTACCTCTTATATTTTGCGGTCGACACAGCTTACATCTGGCATGCGTGCATCTACCATAGTATAAAAGTCTTAAGTTTTCCTTTTCCGAACTCAAACGTGCAAATTGAGTGGAAGCAGCTCTGTAGTGAGGTGGAGTTTATTTAAACATTTTGTACGTGGGAATCTTTTTTTTCATTTTATTGTAAAGCTAGCAATTTATTTTGTTCCTCTTTTTTTCCTCATGCAAAATTGAAACTTGTGAACAACGTAGAGTGTAGTCAGTGACTAAACAGAGATGAGGACATTAAGGCCGATCTTCCTTTCCCTTCTTATGGCTGAAATGGCTGTGTGCGTGTGTCGTGCGTGCGCAGAAAGGAGGGTCTTCGTTGCCACTGAAGGTAAGGTAGATTGCTTTGAACACTGACTGGTTAGCTGGCTGACTGACTGAGACGGATCGAAAAGCTATGTGATTGGGCCAGCAACCGATAGTCTATCGGATTGACTACCTTGCTTGTATCTCGGCCGACTGCCTCATTACCTGATTGCCACATTGTCTAACTGACAAACTTTTTTCTGACTTATAGACCTACTGACTGGTCGACTTACTTACTGCGATTGATCTTTACTTTTTCCTTTTGCCTGCACTCCAGGAATTAAACTATGAACCACTGGTAAGCAGTCGAGATCTTCTCACCCGAACGAAACTGATCTTAGAATAGGGGGTGAATTAACCTTTAGTTGCGTGATATCATCACTCAGTTTGTTCCAAATTACTTTTACCAAGGACATGCTCTCTCTGGTCATGTAATATCATCTCATCAAGTTACTTCCCACCGAGACTGCCACTTCCTTTGTCTTGAGCGCAAGAGATGTTTATCCTACAACTATCAATATTTGCCGCCTCCGTCGACTCAGCTGTGTGAACTTAACGCCGCCACAGGAAAGATGTGTCCCCGTAACATGATTCAAAAAACAAGATTCAAATACTACGAAGACTATGTAAGTTGAGATTCTTCATGTTAATGGCTAGCATTCACAGTGCTCTTTCCATATAGCTGATTGAGCGCAAACGAACGAGAAAATGTAAGCATTCTCAAGCTGAAGGGGAGCACTCCAGCAAATGGAATGCTTCACTGATCATGATTAAACCCATTTTTATTTCACAGTAAGTTCGAACATTAGTGGTTCAAACCTCTGACAGCATCACGATCCAAACAGCAATTACTGGCCATCAACTCTCTCTGGTTAATCCTGTGAAATTATGTCTTTAAAACAAGTAAATGTTTGTTGGTCGGTAGAGATCTAGTTGCGTAAAAATTAACATGATTCTATGTCTTTCCAGAATGCATCTTGCGATAGCATTTGTCCAGAAGGTGGTGAGTTCCTTAAACCTTTTGTCTTTATTCTATAGTGCTACTTTGTTTAAATTTCCCTCTTAACAATCCTTAAAAGCATCGACTAGCTTCAGATATTGCTTTCCGTGCAAGTGATTTACATGGCCAGTTAGTGGCTTAACATCGTTAATAACTTTACATTTTGGACTTACTGATAGAAGTGGGCCTTAATCCAAACTAACGAGGAGCGTATCAAAAATTAATCATTATAAATGTAACCAGTTTCATGTATACTTAAATTGCTATTACCATGTCCAACAACTCAAAACCACTACCATTTACGATTAAAAATATAATCGTAAAAATTACAATTTCTTCGATTGTGATTTGTTTAAAAAACTACTATTTTCTTTATAACGTATCATCATCATCCTACCATTTTACCTTACTCTTACTCCATTTATGGTTTTTTTTTCCTTTACTACTAAAAATGTCACAGTAAGTCAGGAATCACGTCCTGTCTTTTTATTCTCCCTTAAGACGTTAAAAGTTCCCACAAACCAAAGCGAACCTTTCCAGATGGTTCCCTGACAAATGGAAACTTTGCCTATCATTTTTTCTTCATTGATAATTACGAAAGTCTTCTTACATAATTTTTTTTTCTTTTTACCCGGTTTGATTTTAGACGCCAATTTGACAGATTTCCAGCTTACTTTTTCAAGCAAGGCCGTGACAAATTACGTGAGCCTGGATGTTCAAAGTTGTGCAGAACCGCTGACGGCTTTCACTGTGTGCTTGTGGTCGAAAAATGTCAACATTTCGTATGGTGGATGCCTTTTCAGCTACTCGCTAACAGAAGAATCCAACGAAATTTTAATCTGCGACTACGTTGACCAATTCATTTTTGGTGTTAAAGGAGACATAAGGTAAGAGATACGGACTCAGGTTTTTTTTAGCAACATGAATAAAATTCCCTTTCATTTGATAACACTTGTATCAGATCATTATACGAATGGCAAGAGTGGGATATGTGCTCCCTACCCCCCTCCCTCTAAAAAAAGAATTTCCAATCTCCTCCAGTCTCCCAGGCGATGGATAACAAATGGTCCCTAAACTGATTTATAGCGTTGATGATGTGCAGAACCGCTGTCTTTTTACATTGCGTGCCCGCGGTCAAAAAAGGAAAAGTGTTAACATTTCGGATTTGCGAAAGTTTCATGTTTTTTGCTAAAGCCGATGGGAGGTTAATGATACGGAATCAATTCATTTGTTTGTAATTGACAATGAATTACCTTTAAAAACACTTGTATCAGATCTGTCTACAGGAGCCTTTGGTAACATGAGCACGCAAAAACTAGGAACTAAGGTCGCTCCATCAGAGTCTATCTTGGTTTCCAAAGTGCGAAGCGACTATGAGCAATACTACCCGTTCTAAATGGAGTACTTATCTACAGAAAGTAATCCTCAACCCTCTTACGCAACGCATTCGCCCGAATCGCCCCTGATATGCATCCCCACAATCACCCCACCCACTCCTCCCTCAAACATGTCATAAATTTTTCGTGCAGTTTCCCAGTAATTATTTAAACTCCCAGATGAAGAGAAGCATGGAAAGAGTATAGAATCTTGCCCAACAACAATGCAAGAGTTACTGTGTCTCCCACAAAGCTAAGGAATAAATCAGCTTAGTGTGATCAAGTATTTACAGATACTTATGTCTAAATAATTATTAATAAGCTTATCCTCTTCTAGTGATATAGATGTGCCGCATAGTGCAAACGTATTCCTACACATATGCGCCTCTTGGGAGAACGCCGCTGGATCGTGGAAATTTTATTTGAACGGCTCACTTCTACAAAGTGGCAGCGATTTTCTGACAGATGAAGTGATCCCCAGTAATGGCATTGTTATTCTAGGTCAGGATCAAGATGACTATGGTGGAGGATTTGAGCAGGAACAAAGCTTCGTTGGTCAAATGCACAGGGTGAATATGTGGAAGAGAGCTCTGACGGCTGAGGAAATTTATGAATTGTCGAAAAATTGTTCTTATGGAGTCGGCAATTTCATGAGCTGAAGCCATTTCACATCAAGTTTAAACGGAAATGTGAGCCTTACATCTCCAATTACTTGCCACCCATAAGGTGATTTCCAAGTACGCAGAAGTGTTTTTGTTGATGATAATATGATGATAAAGTTTCCTAAACAAATTTCGAATACAAGTGCAAGTTAATTAAGCATACACTTCATACACTTCTGTGTCGAATATTTTATTACACCTTTTAATATCTTGCTTACCAGTGGAACAAATACGGAACAGGAATGAACAACGCGGGAGCCGGCTTCGTGCGACCACCGCTACGACAACATAAAAGGGGAAATCGGGCATGTTTTACTCTTAATGAAACTGTAAACGAGTAGATGTTTAGGGAACTGTCCATTATGATGGATATGCGACATGTAGCTATTTCCGAGCACCATTTTTCTTAGTAATTTTTCACGAGAAAAAATTAGTGTAAACGTATTGTAATAAAAATCATCCTAATCGCAGATCTACGTTAATTCGCTCTTGCTTCTCTTATTCTCGACAATATAAGTTCTTTAACTAATTTAAAACTAAAGAAGAGATGTTTTATTGAAAAAAAATTTCAAAAAACTCAGCTGAATCATTCCTGACCAGTTTCTCTTTCAAAAAATATTCACTTTGTTGAACGAAATTAGGGTTTTTTGAGCCCTTGTGGCGGTTTTCTGCGGTTTATAACGGATTTGAATCTCATTGAACTGAATCTCATGAAATAGAAAATATACATTTCTCGGCTTTAGCAGTTTCACTCCCAAAACTGGATTTCATGAAATAGAAAATATCTATTTCTCGACCTCAACCATTTCACACCCAAGATCTCCAAATTAATTATTTTCTAGGATGGAATTCTTATGATGTTAATTTGGAGAACTTGGTTTTTGATCAACTAATAATAATCCCCTGATTGATATTTTTTTTTATTCTCATTACTTCTCTGCTTGATATTGTATTTATGTTGCAAGGAAAAAAATCTGTATTGGCCACTCATGGGAGTTAAAGTGTTTATACTCTGCCGTTTCGATTATATCTGTTGTAATAACTTGTAACACTTAGGTATCCTAAGTTCTCATCATTAAGCTATTTTAGTAATTTTCTTAGCTTCTTTATGTATTGCGTTTTTATTTCTATCGTTGGAATAGATATATATTCTTTAACAAGGCCTCACTGAAAATAAGGTTTACAACGAACGCGTCTGGTAAAAAATTAATGCCATCATTCTCATTAGGAGAAGTTTAATTACTAAGCTAATTTAGAAGTATAATTTGCACCTTAATTCTAGCTATTGTTGTGTTGCACGCTTTTCATAGCTCAAACAATTGAACACTGTTTGAATCTGTTCTAGTATACTACCACCTTCTGGATGATAAGATTTCTTTGCTTATAAATGATATAGATCGTATCGTTGGCAAGTCAGATCAAATAACTAGAGAAAATGACGTAAAGAGACCGTGTGTGTCTTTGGAATGATGTAGCTGGTTATATCTCTTTAATCTGGCAAGAGATTAACTAAGGCTAAATGTAATTATTTTGTATCAATTTTATGTGGTTTCACCCTCTAGTTCATTATTTTTTAATGTCATCTTTGCTTTCAGTTCCACGGCAGAATCATTTCGTGTCTTACAGCTTTCAATGAAAAGTTCCACTCGTTAGCCAGTTTAGATTCTCCCTCTTAAACACAGGATTGAAAAAAGAATTTCAAAATGATTAATACTTCAGCTATTGTTTGCGTGCAAGATGTCTGATATTCTACGGAAAGTTGCCTTCACGAAAAATTAGCAGTATGGTAATGCTAGCTTTAAATTTTAATGCGAAAGCAAATTTTCATAAGCCTTCTGACAGCTCATTAAACACTTCTTAGTCCGTATTGTCACACATAAAGTCATGTAGCTGTCTTTTGGGCGTTTGGTTAGGATAGGACTTTGAATGAGGTACAGTATCTCAGTTTGAATATCATATCTCATATCACTTAATATTTAACTTTTAATATATTTGTTATATCTGCCGATATCATTCAACGATGATCGAAACTCTAAACTCTGAAATGGACTAATGCGCTTGGGGCAAGGGACAAGTATCAGTCGAGCAAGACACAGACTCCGAATTGGAAAGATTCTTCACTCAGATTGACTTAAAGACTTACAGCCGACCGAAAGACTAACAGGCTGACTCATCCATGACTGATCAAATTACTGACCAAAGTACTAAATTTACGACGTACAGACAGAGAGACAGACCGACCGACCGACCGACCGACAAACAGATTGATCATATTAATGTCTACCTGCTTTCTCGCCTGCCTTTCTGCCTGCGTGCTTGCCTGCCTAATTATAACTGACTAACCTACCTCCCTATCTGACTCACTGCCTGTCTGCCAAGCTAGCTGATAGAGTGCCTGCCTGCCTGCCTGCCTGCCTGCCTGCCTAACTGTCTGACTGCGCAAGTGGATGTTAATGATGAAATTATTAGATAAACTCAGCAACTGACACTCCAATGTAGGTGGATGTAAATAACAGAATAATTTGCAAAACTAGATATTTAACACTTTTGTTTATGGTCAATTCAGTAGGAAAAATGCCGCGTATGTTTAACTCTCCTCTTCTCTTCACCTTTCACCTGAGCCTCGTAACTGCTGAGAATCAATGCAGGACAGAAGTGAACATGCCCGGTGTCGCTCTGAGAGGTTTTGTGTTTAAGAACATGACAGTCACAGCTCCGAGCAGGTGCGATGCCAAATGCTTAGGTGAAATAACCTGCCAAAGTTATAACTACCACATGGAGAAGAACATTTGTGAACTGAACAACCGAACCAAAGAAGCAAGACCTGAAAATCTTCACTCCAACACTTCGTGGTTTTATATCAGAAGATTAATTGAAAGAGGTAAAAACTTTCCTAAAATAGATTTTTTTTCTCAACTGAAACGAATTTAATATGGTCGTAAAAAGTACTCTTTGAGAAGTCCTAAAACGTATAACCTTTGGGAGTAAATGAAAACAAGTTTTTATAGTTTATAGGGAGTTTAGTATTTTCAACTGAGTTGATAGGCTAAATTGGCCTCTGTAAAGAGAATCAAAGCCGACATTTCGAGCGTTAGCCCTTCGTCAATCGTTCTGACGAAAAAATAAACTATAGTATGCGTCTCTAAGAAGGTATTTACTTCATTCTCAGTTGAATTACTCAAATGGAACTCCAGATATTGAAAGGGTTCATTTCATGCGTCTCGATCTTCAGTCATTTGCATTTGCTAACGGTGTAATATCTACTTTCTCCGATGGAACAAAAAACACTGCGGGTTATATGAAATAAAGCGCCAATGCATCTTTCGACTACTGAAATAGTACTATCATTTCTAGAGTCATATGCTGTCTGAGTTAATGAAGTAAATCACGATTAACAGCATGAATTAATTGATTTATCCGCACGTCCATCGGCTTTCAGTTCCCCTCGTTTCCATTCCAGAATTGGCAGCATCATCTTGCCAGGAAGTGAAGGCGAGCGAAGGTCCTGACATCATCAGCACTAAATACTGGCTGGATCCAAACGAGAGTGGAAAGCCATTTTTGTTTTACTGTGACATGAACCGAGAAGGTGAGTCGCCTTAAATTTATCAGTAATAAAGATAGGGTGCTTCTTTCATTCTTCCTATTAGTCCACTTGCCTGAGCCTTGTTAATTTATCGACGCAGAGGGGAGAGTGGGTAGGAGTAGTATAGAGGATTTAGGTAGATCACGTGGTTTTCAGGAGCAACGGATGGGGATCAGTCGTCTTTCTCCGACATGAGGTGGATTACAGGATATTGACTACCAATTAAGTGCTAATGAGGCGGGGGGGGTTCGTGTTCATATGGATATGACAGAGCCTCAGGGGAGGAGAAATCAAATAAATATTATCGGAACACAACCAAAATCCTCCAAACCCCCTGCCCCCCCCTTAGGGGATACATAAGGACATAAGGACATAAGGACATAAGAACCGGTCCTTTAACCCTTTGACTCCTAAGATCTCATTAGTAACTCTCCTTACTGTCTGACATACATTTCTCATGATGTCAATTTGAAGAATTTGGTATTGGATCAACTAATAATCCCCGAACTGATATTTTACTTTATTCTCATCACTTGTCTGCTTGATATTGTATTGATATTGAAAGGATAAAATCTCTCTTGGTCAATCATGGGAGGTAAAGGGTTAAGCCAGGAGCCCATGGGTTCCTGGTTAAGCCTAAATTTTCATTTTGTATGGCTTACTTTGTAGACATTTTGACTGCGTTCATTTTAGTTTTGCCTTTCTCTTTACGATAGAAGCCCCTGGAATAATATGGAAATTTAAAACTAAAACAAAAAAAAAACCAAAAATTTACAAAGACGTAGATATAGACGTAGAAAAATTCTTAGAAAAATAACAACGACAACAACAACAACAAAAACATACGAAAAAATGGATCAAGTTAATTATAATTTTCTTCTTGTAATCATGGTACCTTTGAAACAACCGGTGCCGCTCAACTTCTTTAAAGTCCCTAAAATGATCTTTCTTTGAGAAGGACAACTTACAGTCATAACTTATCTTGCAGATCCTGCATCAAACTTCCAGCTTTCTTTTGACGACAAATCCGTCTCAGATTACGCACAATTTTATATGGATAGTGATTTTTCTCCGCTTAACGCTTTCACCTTGTGTCTATGGATGAAGCCTGCTTCTCAATTGGATAGTAGTTGTGTTTTCAGTTATTCACTACCAGACGAGCAAAACGGAATTCTGATTTGCGACTATGTCGAGAGTTTGATGTTTGTGATATACGGCTATATGAGGTAATAGTTACTTTGCGATAATATATCATCTACTTGCACGATCAATTAGACAACTGGATAACTGAGGAGCTTTGTAAACAACTATTATGGGCTCAAATTGTATGAGAGTTGTAAATTGTATGGGCTCAAACTGAAGCCTACAAGCGCATTTTCTGCCTCCTTTTAGCTAAACAAGGTCACGCGAAGGCATACGGCAAACGGTAGCCGAAAATATTTAGATCAAAGGATGTAAAAGAGAACGAAAGGAATCCTCATAATGCTTTTTGACTTCTCTGAATAGGATGCTAGTATGGTCTCTCAGCCGGGTTCGCTGTCACATGATTTTTTTAAAACACTTCAGAGTACCGCGAGGTTAAGCGTTGTAGGAGCAACATATCCACCTTTAACCTAGAATAAAATCAGGCATCTTGACCCAGAATCTAGCACCAACAGTAAAGTTGGATTGTCTCCCGAGGTGACATACCCCAGCTTGAAACTTTGGACAGTAATTCCCGTACGAGGGCAGTACAGAATCGATTACGTAAGCAGTGTGAGAAAAAAAAGCCAGACGAGCCCTCATGATAATAGCTTAAAGAAAAACGGAAGAAAAAGACGGAGCAACGGTCATATGATAAAATGCTTGTCATACTTATTGACTGGGTTTCGTCAGGTTGGTCAAATATTTCTAACATCTGGCTCTAGGTCATGAGGCACGAAGCTCATGGTCATGGGGCACGAGGCAAATATTCTCCTGATCTACCCCTTCACTCGGCCGATGAGTATGTAAAAGTTTTGCTCCCTTTCGCCGAATGCTCTGGCATGTCTCCCTCACAAATCACGCTTCTCCCATCTGGCTAAAAAGGAAAATTAAAAGATGCTAAGCTGGGTACTCAAAATATTTTTGTCTGTTGTGTTTGCGAGCTCTTTTACTAGTTGCGCTTCAAAACGAAGAAAGTATAGGTTACGAAAAATACCAGGGAGGTAAGAAAGAACCCAATGAATCAGATAAGCAGACAAAAAAAAGTTGATATATAGGCCCTTAAAATATCAATATGACATATCATTAGATACTTTTTTCCTCTTAAAGAAATGTATATTTGCCCCGTGGTGATGAAGAGCTGATTCACATATGTTCCGCGTGGGAGAACACCGCTGGATCGTGGAACTTTTACATAAATGGTTCACTTGTGGAAAGTGACCTGGACTTTGCGACAGGCCACGTGATCGCCAGTAGTGGTATTTTTATCTTGGGACAGGATCAAGATGAATTTGGTGGAGGTTTTGAGCAAGAGCAAAGCTTCTTTGGTCAGATGTATGGCGTGAATATGTGGGATAGAGTACTGACGGCTGAAGAAATAACCATCATGTCCACAAATTGTACATTTGGAGTCGGTAACTTTCTGAGGTGGAGTGACTTCATTCCCGGTTTGCATGGGAATGTCAAACTAACTTCACCAGCGTCTTGTGAGCCATGACGTAACAGAATGCCTTTATCCTGCCTTGAATAGCAACCCAGGACCATTCAAAACAAACATGAAATGAAAATAGAAGCAGGATACCATACTTATATGCCACGACATCAAATTAATTTATTAATTGATCTTCATAAGTTATAGCAGTCGTAATCAAGCTTATTACAGCTTTAAATAATTCAAATTTATTCACCACGGATTCCATGATATCTTTGGGAGAAGTGATACTTACCCTTGGCGGAAATCAATGCGCGCATACAAAAATTTTCAAAAGATTTAGTTCCTTAAACTAGCTAGAATGACTACAGTAAGCCTGGGGTCTCGTTATCTCCGTAACCAGGAGAGGAGTATGAATCAACTTCTTCATGCCAATGCATCAAGAGGAAACAGAAAAAAAATTGTCCTCAGCTTATTTCTATCATTTTTTTTCTGCAATTCTCAAAAGAAAGCTCTGTAGAAAACTATCTGACTGTCTTTTTTATACGAAATACAAACGTGCATTGATCATAATTAGTGTATTAACTGATGAAGGCGTCCGGCGTGAAGCTAAATTTGTGCCGTTTATCGTCGAAGTAACGCTATGCTATGAGAAGTCAGCCATAATAACTCTATACGGTGGCCATCTACATTATCAACACAGCTGATAAAACCAAATTATATTGTTATACCCGACCCCCCCCTCCCCCACCACCAACACAGCACACCGTGGTTTCTTTAGAAACTAAGCTCTTTTATTCTTAAACGTGAATGTTCTCGTTTTTGTGAGGGTCAATAGACAGTTTTCTAGTAAGTCGCCTGAATCTTCCAACCATTTCTCTAGCATGTTTTCCTTCAAAATCTTAGGATTTCCCTTGAAGTGTTGGTAGTGATTAAAACATTAATTGCGACACTTTTCTCATCACGCAGTTCGAGCACCCACAGGTAAGGTTATACTCAGATGGCACTCTACCCCAACCTGTATTACAATTCAATCAAGCCCCAATCAATGATACAAGAAATTAAACAACAGAGCACTTTTCAACAACAATCAGCGATTCCCACAGTGTCACTTCCTCCTTCTCGACCAGCTTTTCAGGCGGGGGTTTCCTCTTGCAAGACACAGCAAACATTATAGCTGACCCCGCTAGCATTATGGCACCAACCATGTAGAATACTGGGGTGTACGAACCCTCGATATCGGCTACAAGACCTTTGAAAAACAAATAAACAAGCTCATCAAGAGAAGCAAATCACAGCTATATCAAAGGTATAACCTAGGCTACTTAGCACTAAGTTCAATGTTAAATGAAGGTATCAATAGAGTAATGATTTTAGCGGCTAACAGTCTAAAAGTCGGACACGAGACCTTTGAAAACAAATTAACAAATTCATCAAGAGAAGCCAATCACAGCTATATCAAAGATATAACGTAGAATTCCCAGAACTTCTCCAATGTGTATTGAGTATCTTGGTGAGGTAGTAGCTTTTACAGTAACGGTCAAAATGTTACGGCTAACGGTTAATTTCTTAACATAACTGTAATCAGAATTTTAAAAATTAATTCCAACTTATTTTAAAATTTTGATAATTAATTTTCATCGTTTTAAAAATAAAACAACATAAAAACATTTAAGACAAGTCGCTTACTTCCAATTCTGAGATAAGAAAGCAAAAAGAAGCAATATATAGCATGTGGCCTACTTATTCAGTAACAATATCACCAAGTATAGAAATATGATGTACATGAAACAGTCTAAGATTTTGACCGTCTTAAAATAACACTTTGTAGATAGGCTATGTTGGTAACTTTTTTTACGGGGACAGTTATAATAGTGTCAGTTTTTAAGCTTAACGGCTCAATATTCGACTGTTTATGGCGAACGGTTAACCCTCAGCCTTTGAGTTATTGTGAACATCAGGTGATTGCCAGGTTGGCCCATAGACAGACAACCTCATGGAATTTAAGCCTTGCATTGTTTTTCTAATGTTCGATGTAGCTGGAAATGGTGACTCGAGGCTTGACGCAAGTGTTTGTGGAAAAAAAATTCGTAAATGCAAATAAACAAGGATTTGTTAGCAAAGAACATAACTAAGAAAAATAAATCGTTCTCGTTTGATTACAAAGGGCATTATGGTACACATTCACATTGGCATGCACGCACGAGATCGTCGCTACAAGCATTTTAGCCTTTGCTCGCTTGCCTACTATTCACTAAATGAATTGAGGGAGTAAATTTCTAAAGGAACTCGATGGTGCCGCATCAGGGAGGGGTTATTACAAGATGGTTTAGATTTACCAGACCGAGTTTACGATGCAAATTGGCCACCGCAAAAAAGTTTCTTAAGCTGACGTTTGAACATTAGCAATTCGTCAAAGCGTATGGTGAGAGACCAATGCTCGAATCGTCAGATTTGATACTCTACAGGAAGCCAATTTACACTATCAAGTCAAATGATAAAACCAAATTATACTAGTTTTTCAGTAAATGTTTCTCGCCTCGTGAGGAATCCTCAGAAAACGACACACACTCTCGTTCCCGAAATTATTAACAACTTATATGGAATTGACATATTACTCTGAGGTCTGAACCAAGAACCTCCCTCGTTTTTCCCTCATTTTCCCTCTCTGGTACGCAGTGTTAAAATTAAATGAAAGTTGATATACCTCCCAGACCAGGACCACAAGCTGAGGATATACAGCTAAGGCAGTTGTAAAGCCCGAATCCGAGAGGTTTTAACCTTTCTGGAAGACTATTCAACACAGCTATGGCAAAACCACAACCCAGTGTTCCATCGGCTAAACCATATACCACGAAGTAGATTATAAAGTGCATATTCGTTGTTGCCATGGGAAACAGCAAGGTGGAGACCCCTTCAAGACTGGCGGCTATAGAATAGATGTACAACATGTTTATCCATAAAACGTCATTTAACCGACCAATCACAGGTCGAATTAGTAAGGAAGCTACTCCGCTGTAAATATATAAACGTGAAGCTGTCACTTCTGTAGATCCCTTCTCCTCCAAGTAACGGACCTGTTGAAATGGAGAGAGAAATAAGTATTTACAGATCTAGGGGCCATCAGGGTTCATCGTCCATGATAACGCGTCGTTTTCATTTGATACTAGCTCAGTGTTTTCTTGCGCAGGTTTAGCCGATAGCCAATTAAAGGTTTCAGAGGTCTTTACCTCTTACACAAGGCCTTAATGTTAATTTTTTCCCATAAGATCTTTTATCAGAAGGAAAATCGTTACACGTTCACCGTGCCACATTTTGTGCTGCGCTTGCATTTTTGTTGCCACGTTCCCACCCGAGAAAGAAACTCAGTGGACGGGTATTAAGCCATGACCAGCTCTCCGGCTCCTTATTATAACAAGATATTAAAATATGGCTCTGGGTCAGCTCAGCAAACAGGACTTCCTAAAGAAACAGGCCAATGAAAACTTACTTCAGGAATAATATAGGAGGTGAGGAGTGTGTAACCCTACTCACTCACCAAAATGATTTTAAAGCGATGCACACAAAATTAATATTTATACTCTATTATCCCTTCGTTGCTCTTTAACATTGGCGAAGTGATTAAAATCTTTTTTCCCGCTTAAACGAGTGTTAAATTTTCGACACAATACTATGCTACAATGCATTCTATTGAAGTAATACGTGGGATATACTTCAACCTCACTTGGCTAATGAAGATTTGACCATGTGATCACGATGGTTTGAAACTTACCATGTGGACTGTTGGAGTATAGTGCCCGGTGTAAAACAAGACAGCGGCAGTTGTACAGAGAACAAATTCTTTGTGTTTGAGGATTGAAATGTCCCAGAATTTGTTGTTCTCCTTTTGCTGTGAATTCAGTTCCATTTTGCTAGACTCGGCTATTGGTTTATAAACAAAAGCCAGAGCACTTGTTACAACTACAATACCGGCCATTGCTGAAAATGTCCCTCTCCAGCCAAACGCTTTAAAGAGCTCATGCACAATTGGGCTCATAATAAACAAACCTCCACCGGGCCCCATGGCAATTAGACCCAAACTAAGCGAGCGCCACTTTGTAAAGTACTTAGGTACCATTATGTAGGTCAGTATAAATACACCACAGGAGCCAAAACTAAACAAAAATCCATAAGTAAAATACATGACGTAGAGACTCGTCACTTTTGACGTCACAATGAGACTAGCCGCACAAATTATTGTCCCGGAAAATGTCACAATTCGCGCACCCAGACGATGATAAAGGTTTCCGACTAAAGGTCCAAAAAGTCCAACGCCCATCATGGCAATTGAGCCTACCCAAGCTGAAGAGTAAAAAAAGGAGAGAAGGATTTGGATCATAACTAATGATAAGACTCATACACGCAATTGCAAATTAGAGAAAGAACATAGAGAATTGTTGATAAATGTTCGTAATAAGAATTTTATTCAGTCTGTGAATCACAAGTTAGATCCCAGAAAGAGGTGGATGACACCACGTCCTGTAACAATTTAGTCCAGATATGTCAAAATTTAAAAGAAAAACACGCACTGCTTAAATGTATTCACGAATAATCAATAACGTAACAGGTAAATTTAGTATCCTTCCCCTGTTTATTGAGTTAAGTTAAGGAAATCCAGCTTGTGAATCATTAGGCAAACCCTGAAATCGGTCAGCTGGCTGCGTTATTGTTTCGGCATCTCGATCATTTCCTTCCTCCCTGGTGGTCTTGTTCAACAATCATTTCGGTGCTTACATTTGCTGGTTATAATTTCCAGCTTTTAATCACCCCACTAATCACAACACAGGCTTTCTCACACGCTCGTAGATTCGCCTCTTCGCTCCTTAACTAATTTAAGGCATAGCGTACCTGTTTTAGCTTTCCCCTGCTGAAATTCGTCCAAGAGAGCAGGAAACAAGATACCAAAACTATACGTGAATCCGCAAATGATAACATTTGACAAGACTGCGGCAAAACACACCAGCCACGACCAACAGCTATCTTGATAAGGAGAGACTTTTATAACGCATGTCAGAGTTTTCGCGGTCTTGCCGCCATTGCCGGGAGCCTCGCTTCCTTCATCCATGTCAACCACAACTAACTGCGAGTAAAGTAACGAAATGAAAAGGCTATTGTGACGTCATAAAAGTGATCGACGTCACTAATTCATGTCAAAGAAAATATACCGGTTAATGTTTAATGCGCATGTGCGCGAGCGTGGAGAACAATCATCTTTCCAAACAAAATAAATAAATAAACAAATAGATAATAATAAAGATATATCAACTTCTGAAAATTATATTTGGGTGTTTTTTTTTTTTTTCACTCTAAGAGATTTAAGGCAAAATGCAATCAGGGAGAAGGGAAGGTACGAGATTGATGTGATTGCATTACAGGCTCACAGGCGCAGTGGAATCACCATTCTGTCAACAAACACCGAAAAAAAATTTAAGTCACTTTTCCTTGGCTTGAATCATGAACCTTTAAGAATTTATTCTCGACCGATATTAGGTTGATTGTCAGAAATATAATGAACTCTAACAGGAAATCTGGGATTTTTGAGTCTTTTCTTACTTTTTGAGGTAAAGTGTCTTTAGTAAAAACCTTGCTCAAAAGCGTTTCTTTGAAGTTAAAATAATCAGATCAAAGAATAAGCGTCAAGGTACAAATCCCATACATGCTTTATTTTAATCCAATATGTTCAGGTCACGTTCCTATAGCTGAAAAAAGTCAATGTTTTGTTTAAAAAAAAAAAAAAAAAGCCTTTATACGGGCCCAAGTGGCCCATGGGGCCGGTGCTTAACTCCGGTTTTCTTAGGATGAAGCGGCTAGGAGTATTGCTACTCCCCCCTGGATGGATGCTAGTCCATCGCAGGGTTACCCCCAGCACATTTGCTGGTACCCATTTGTACACCTGGGTGAAGAGAAGCACTGTGAGAGTTAAGTTTCTTGCCTAAGAACACAACACAATGACCCCAGCCAGGGCTCGAACCCGGACCACCCGATCCGGAGTCGAGCGCACTAACCATGTTTAAAAGCGTCATCAAATAGACTCATCTTAACGTCAAGGTGTGAAAAAAAAAGTTCCCATTCTGTTAAATATTCAAAATTACTGAATGTTTATTCAATATCCGAAATCATTCTTTCGTAAACTTTAAGAAAATACATACTTTTATAGGGATAGCGGCAATAGTTTGCATGTTAACACTAATTTCTTTCTGTGATACCGGCTTACAGAAAACGTTCACGTTTCCTCTCACGTGCCTGAGAACAAAGGCGATTGCGCTTCTGATAGGTACACTGAGTAAGATTACTAATGTATACTTTTATAGGGATAGCGCAATTAGCCTGTTATTTTAGTTTGTAAGTTAACACTAATTTCTTTCTGTGACACCTTTCAGAAAACGCTCACGTTTCCTCTCACGTGCCTGAGAACAAAGGCGATTTCGCTCCTCATAGGTACATTAGGTAAGATAGGTAATGTATACTTCTAGAGGAATACCACATATAGTTTGCATGTTATTTCAGTTTGCGTGTTAATTCAATTTCCTTCTGTGATACCCAAGAGTGATTTAAAATGCTCACGTTTCCTCTCACGTTTCCTCTCACGTGTCTGAGAACAAAGTCGATTTCGCTTCTGATAAGTACACTAACTTGGTTACGGGCGAAATATAACAGAGTTCTCTTAAGCATCACCGGTCGGAAGCCCTACAAACAGAGCCTTTAAATCATAGTTAACTTGGTAGAAAACGAAAAAAAAAAAAAAGCGCAGCAAGGCCAAAAGGTTAGGGGAAGCAGTGACAGTGCTGACAAATAATTTTCAACCTTCTTTGATGGTGGGGCTTTTAATAACCCAATTTGCGAGAAAACACATCTTTGTCTAAGAGAAATCAAAATGATCAAAATCCCAAAAACAATGTGGGAATCGGAATCATAAAAACAAATCACACCGAAAAAGGGCAGTTACTGCAGATATGGCCCCATGGCAAAGGCGTCTGTTGAAAGACAAGCAGCTGTATTATGGTCAATATTAGTTGCCTCTTGGAAGGAGTGTTGCATGAATCGATTTATCTCGCAACAAAAGCCGTTGTCTACGTTGAAGTTAGCAAAATTCGAATAGAGGGCTTATCTTGCTGACTTTCATTTAAGTTACCTGGGGTGATTTACATTCCGACGTCAGCTGTGGTCACCAGTTGAAAATTATAAGTAAGAAAATAATTCCTACTGTTGTTATGTAACAAGCTGTGAACAGTGAGTCAGTTGTCACGATATGGACGCAAGCGCTCCAAATAAATTAATTTAAAAAAAGGAAAGAATATGATATATTCCGGTTACCACAGCCATCAGCCTAACGCCATTGTTTCTTAGAGAATTTTGTGGCCCACCATCTGATAATTTCTTGCCGGTGAGTACTTTCAAAAAAACCGTGGAATGAACCATAAAACTAAAGACGACTTATAAATATTTACATTGAGAAACCTGCCAATTGTTATTCAATCCTTATTTGCATCCACACAAGAAAATTTGAAATCAATTTTCGAATCTTCATTTACCAGTGGTAAAATGTTTCGTTACACCTTAGAAATACGACATAAAGCTCTGTCGGATTAAAGATAAAAAAAAAAATGCCCTAAGCGTCTCTGACAACTGAAACGATACGCTTGGGATCTTTGAGGTTTTTACGGGTTTTTAATTGTCTACCAGCTGGTACTGATCTATTTGGCTCGAATGGTCGAACAAAGCGAGTCAAGATCGTCGCAAGCTAATATCAAAACCCAAAATTATAATCTCTTGAACCTCGCTTTTCCTATCAGTTCCAAGCTTGTGGTACGTTTTCGAAACCAATCATTTCACTTTTAATATCGGAAATCATCTTAAGCGCACCGCAAGTCCAGTGTCAAGCTTAAAGATATTATGTTTCTTCGAATTTAACCTCTTTGTTCAAAGCGCCATTGATTTCGATCCGAGAGGACACACAGGTCGCAGAAACCTTTTGGTTTCCAAAGACGAGGAAGATCGACAGATATTTGAAAAAGCAAGAGCCCCCTGGTGTAGAAAATAAGGAAAAATCGAACCTCGAGCTCGACGCGAAGAGTGGAATCCCCCGTTTTGAAAAGGAAAATCGCGTGTACAACACACATGCGAATGTACAATTTCCATTTCACGATATTTTCAAATAAAGAGCCGATATTACACACATTGAAGGATCACAGCCGCAGAGTATGTCTGTTTTTTTTCCTTCGTTCGCTTGCCTTTTATAAATAGTAAATATAACCGGTGGTTTCGTCTGTGGGAAGAAACTGAAAAAATAAGCGGTGTATTTAATTAGAATGCGACAATCCCTTGTTCTTTGATGCGTTCAATGTCTTCGAAAGCGTTCCTGATTTGGCAAAACTCTCTCTTCAAGAGTAGCATCATAATTATCAGAGGTGCCGAATACAGTGCCTGAAATGTTTGCCGGCAAATGATAATGTGTGAGATTCTCTAAATGGTGAGACAGATTCGATACAAACATACCTCATCCTGACTTGACGGCATAGCTTAAGGGAGAGAAGATCTCGATGGACTGTACAGCATGCGAAACGGAAAACAGTCCAGCCGCTAAAGAAAATAAGTCGTGAATGGATTATCGCAAAAAATACCTCGTTTACAAAAGGAAGAAACGGAAGATTGAAACAGGTTTTTCAAGTATTGCTTGAAATCGAAAGCCGGATTCACGCTTTTCTTCTTCTTGTTATCTTTCAACGGAATATTATTTTCAAAGTTCTGGAGGCAGAAGAAAAGAACGTTTGAAATCATTAAGGAAAGTTTGAATCATTTTGGTGATTGATTTGAGCAGACACTAGTGCAAACATAGCTTCTGTCGATCGTGCGAACCAAGATTCTGTTAACTTGCGGTTGTCCCAACATTTTTCACGACTGATCATGTGCGCGAACACGTGAGGATTTCTTTGGCACGCGAGGATTCTGTGGCTAATAGGTGACCTGCTGTTCGTGTGACCCAAGATCTCCAGGCAAAACAAGGGTTCGGAAAACGAGCCCGCGCTCCTATGAGCCAGCTGGTATCATATCACACCAAGGCATCAAGAGAAGAAAGGGGGAATGTCTCTAAAGAAACTGTGGTGATGTGTCGGTGGGAGAGCAGAACAGGGTAATGTAGTTTTCTCAATTGAGTTGATAACGTAAATTGGCTGCTGTAAAGAGCACGAAAACAGATAAAATGTACTCCGCCGATTTTGTTAATTTTTTCTGTAATCCATAAACTGGCCCTTGTCAGGAGCCATTAAATTGGGCTCCTGCCCTTGTAGTTAAGTATCTGAAATATATATATATTTTTTTTTTTCTCATTTCACGGAATACAGACATGTTACCCTGCATTATTAACGCTTGAAAATGATCGGTGGCAGTCAATGTCACACTCAAACCATAAGCTTTGTCTAATTGCGTGAGTCCCTCCCTTACCGCATGGTCACACGGAAAACCTATGCAGAATAGAGGACTCAAACTTATTGTAAGTAAATAAATAAAGGGGATAAGTTTCCAAAGAAACTCTGGTACTGCATTTGGAGCTGATGGTAATACAAAGTGTAAGATAATTTGATTTTATCTGCTGATTTGTAAATGTAAATTGGCCACAATAGATAGTTCTACGCTGAGGTTTCGAGGGTCGGTTATTGAACGCTAGTAAACAGATTTCGCTAAACTAAAACTGACAGAGCTCTTGATGTTTTTTATTGATAACAAAAATAATCACTCCCCGTGTTGTGAACTGAGTGTTTTGTCTGTCTTTGAATACATCACCATTTCAGAAACGAGGAAAATACACAATGCACCATAAATGTCTCAGGCTACATACACAAGTTGAATGATTTAATTCCGGATGTATTTTGTATTTCGTTCTAATTTATAGTTTCAGAGCTACGTTGATTCATCGTTGAAACCTTTGGATGGCTCTGAGTCTAAAAAAGGAAGAAAAACCGGAAAACGAAAAAAGGATAACTTTCGTCGAAGGACAAATCTTTCAAAAGATTACAGTTCAATCAGAAAAGGGGGGGGAGCTCACTGAAACTGGTTTGTGTTACAAACATTACAATAAACGGTGTGTCAATAAATAAAAATGATTAAAAATTGTGACATTAAGTATCGATAGATCAAAGAACTGGTGTAATCTATACACTATCCCGCACTGAAATACCACAAGAAATTTTAGATCTCTTGCTTACCAATATACCTCAAGAATTTTTTTATTTTAGCAGTTTTTGCCATATTAATGAGTGTAACGACAAATGCCAACACATATCAAGTCTGCTTGCTAAAATAGATTATATTACTGAAATCGCTCCGAGCAAAATGTCGCATGTAGTTTTGTTCGCAAAAATATTTCGCGACAAATACCTGCTAATAAACATATCTTAATGTATTCCTAAGGTAGCGTTGCATAATAATTATCTGATATCGGACTTTTCGTTGTTTAACAAGCGTGGCTTTGAACTCTATTCTTGCTCTCATATTTTGATCGAATTTCTTTCCACATATCGCTGTTATAGAAGGATGCAATTAGAGCTACTCCAATGTTTTTTTGTTTAGTTTGTTTTGTTTTTTCGTATTTTTTTTAATTTTTCTTTATAACTCAGTACGGGATTGCATTGCTCTTCAAGCTTCGCAACGAGACCTTACTTCAAACCATCACTCTTCCAATCATTGAGAAACAAAGGTAAAATTATTTTTTGGCTGCCCAAAGAGATTTTTCAACTTTGTAACTCTTGGTCACCCCTTTATGTTTACGCCTTTATGTTTTGTTTGTTTAGTGTCGAAACGCGAGTTGAGATTGACCCAATTCTTTAGCTGTTTCATTCTTGGAAAACAGGAATGATCTTAAGAGTTACAACAATTCAAGCCAAGCAAAATAGGAATTGAAGCCTGAAATTTATACTTAAAATATAGCTTAAATTCGACCGCATGCACTACTTCAGAAAAACCGCGTCTAAACGCAGGGGACTAGTCTTTTTTTTTTCTTTTTCTTGAAGGATGAGCTTAGATAATTTATTTGGGAACATCTCTTAGAGAGCACTGAATGACATCCCAAAAGTTACGCGCCCATGAGCTTGAAAGTAGACGAGGATTGTTCAAGCGTTTTGCAGGTTCAACATAAGCGTTTGATGCTGGAGGCGAGCAAAGACGATTTTGAAAACCCACTCTAAACTGAAGTTTTCAAATGGAAAAACCTATAGCCGTAAAACGGCGAAAAAAATTCGTCGTTAGGCGTAGAAGTTGAGTGGCTATAGCATCTAATTTCTTCTTACAATATTACCACTGAATCAAACATTAAAGTCACAAGAATAAAGAAAAAATTCACCAGCTAAAGAAGCTCTTGATTGTTGAGAAAATTCTACTTGTCAGCACCTCAGGAGAAGTATAAAGAACAGTACGGAGAAAATACAAAAACCAGGAGTATAATCTGCACTAGAGGTCTGAGTTCTTGAGATTGTTTCTAAACTTTTCTTCAGATAACATTGGTCGTCCTTTCGCAGCTCATCCTAATATCAGTCAAATATACCCTATTAGAAACACTGTTATATTGATAGCTGTCATGTTTGGCGAAGGAAATCTGCCAAAATTTGAAGGATGTTGACTCTCAAGATTCTTGCGTGCTTGAATTACGGATCAGGCAATACTTTCGGCTGATCTTATTAAGGCAAATGTCATCAGACGAAGACAATGTCTGGGTTTTCGGTGGGATGTACTTGAAACTTTTCTCGGAAGGTATCCGATGATAGCCGGGAAATTGAGCCCAAAGGGTGCACGTGATTGAGAGCAGGGACATTTTTCGTTATGCATGAATGCAAAATAACACCACCAATTTATGATAATTTAAATTTCTCGAAAGGTCTTCCAGAATTCGTTCCGCAACACTTTCATACCCCAATGGATATGCCTTCAAGGTAATAATGATTTTTCCAGGAATCACATAAACAATCTGAAGCTTCCCTTCGCTCAAACAGAAATCTTTTTCATAGAACCTCGCAAAAAGGCTTACGGTGGCTCGTCAAATAATCGTGACATGTGCTTACGTTTCTTTGGCTCAAAAGGCATTCACACAGCCTTGGGTTTCGCATGAACCCAAGCCAAGCAGGACCATGCTTGTCTTTAATCTTTTCTACCTCGAAAATTAATAAGAAATGCGCTCCTCTTTATTTTTTGATGAGGGAAAGAAACTCTAAAAAGCCTCAATAACACAAGACAGCTCATCAATGACTTGCAATTGACACCCAATATTTGCGATCTACGAGTCAATTTGAATAATCCTGTGTCATCTTGAACAAGGAGTTAACGTTAAAGAACTTTTCTACTACCCTGTCGTCAATGTGCACATAGTGTCTTAAAAGAAAAATCATTTATATGGCTGAAGACTTCAAGCCTAGGGCAGCTTTAGTCCTTGTCATTTGAAACAAAGTCCTTATGTTTTGGTCTTCTTTTTTTTTCAGCTGGTAATTAACAATTTTGGGTCGAATGTCAGGCCAAGTTTAAGATCATGGCACGCAAAATTCTTGTAGGAAAATCGACATAAGAGTTCCGTGAACCTATCTAAACGTGCTCCCCTTTTAGCAAAGTTCACTCAACAAAAATCCGAAATTGAATATTCGATGTTGTTAAAGTATTGATAAAATCTGATCAAAATTCACACCTTTTGCGGGTAATGAAAGCCTTTCAAATGCAAATATCGTTTTTGTTTTTAGCTTCATCTAGAACAGCGTTGTTTGACCTTTCGATACGACGATGAACGGTTGGTTATCACATCATAAACACTAAATGTGCGAAACGCAGCGGATGAGAAGTGTGTTGGCAACAAAAAAAATAACGCGAGAGAACGCAAAAACTGCGTTATTAACATGAACTTACCTTCGCTCTCCTGTTTTGCCTCGGAGTTATTACATCACAGGCGACAAGCCTTAATCGCTGAGGAGGAGACAAATCATTTGTAGTTGCAGTAAATAATCGTGTTATAGAGCCCGAGATTGTACCGATGTACATCGCTAAATAAAAGATCAAGCAATTTTTATAAAAGCGAAGACCGTAAAAGTATTGAATTTACCGCTGTAATAACATTGGTGGCATGGAGAAAGGCATCAAGAAGAATTGAAGTTATGTTTGTAACTTGCTGCGTTACGAAAACAAAAGTATATTGACTTCCCATTGTCAAAAATGTCAATCAAATTTGACTTGAATCCAGTCCGTCTTTTCGGAACATAGAGTTAATATTTCAAAGCTAACTGAAACAATCAACCAGAGGATGAATTTAATGTCATTAAGAGACCTTAATCTACCAAGGTAAGTGATACAGTTCTTGGTCATCAGTCAAAATATATTTTTGCAAGCGTCACTGGTCCAAAATCGCAACGTGACGGATCCCACAATCGAGGATATCCCGGCTAGAATCAATTTTCGGTGGTTTTTGCTCGGTCCGTATCATACCGAGTGCATCTGTTAAATTGAATCAGTAAAAAGAAAAAACATTTTGGAAAACATAATTATTTTAACGAGTGGATATTTTGAGAGAATGTTTCCAATAAAACGATTAGCCTTGATTAGAAATATTTGAGGGATGGTCAACACATAAGCTGTCTCTCGAAGCTCAGAGTTTCCCTCCTTGTATATTTTCGCAGAAAAAGGCAGGCGATTATTTCATTTGTAAGAGAACTGTGCCAGCTTAAAAATAACGAAAGTTCAAGCCAAGAAAATTTATCCTTAAAAAATACAGCTTGAATTCGACCGCATGCACCACTTCAGAAAAACCGCGTCTACATACCGGCACGCATAGGGCTGGTTTTTGTATCCTTTTTTTCTTGAAGGAAGAGCTTAGATAATTTCTTTGGGAATGTCTATTAAAGTGCACTGCACATCCCAAAAATTAAGCGCCTATGAGCTTTAAAGCAGACAAGGATTGTTCAAGTTTTTCGCAGGTTCAACATAACCGTTTGATGCTGGAGGGGAGCAAAGACGATTTTGAAAACCTGCCCTTAACTAAAGTTTTCAAAGAGTGAAACCGTTAGCCGTGAAACAGCAAAAAAAATAGTGGTAAGGCGTAAAAAATTGACAAATTTTAACCGTTAGTAGTAAAAAAAGTTAACCATACTTTTTTTCCTGTTAACTTCCGTGTAAATAAACTAACTGTTAGCCATAAAATGGCCAAAATTTTAACTGTTAACCGTAAAAGTCATCGCCCCATTAATCTTTTTGTTTCCATGAGTGAGCAAGAAAGTATTTCTCCTCACAATATCATGAATTCAAATGATGAAAGGAAAGAAAAATATCTATCAAGGAGTTATTAGTTGATCTAATACCAAATTCTCCAAACTAACATCATAAGAAATGTATGGCTGACAGTGAGGTGAATTACTTAAAAGATCCAAGAGCTAAAGGGTTGAGACCCTAAAAAATCTACTGATTAGTCGGTAGAGTCGATCGAATATACGGGAAACGCAGAAAAATGGCGATTGTTCATTCAGAAGCGTCCTTTCCAAGATCTTCGATTTTCGAAGCCAACCAGTATCACCTGTACATGTCAATGTATGTTACCCTGCAGATTCACGTCAATAACCCGTGGCACTTTTGTATATGTTTCTATACGACATCCCTCTACCCCTTTGAAATCCGTATGGCATTTCAATACTAGTGATAATTGTGTCAACAGGCTTTTGAACAAAATGTGCGTATTGTTGTGAAACAACTTATTTTTAGTTTAAACGAAACAACCTTCACAAAACTTAACAAGTAGGTAAACTAAACAACCCCAAAACAATCGAGTGTCTATAATGCGATTTGGTTTAACCAGGACAGCGTTAGATTTGTAAGATAAGGTCAAACATCCTCTTACGAAGGAGCATGTTCAAGTCTAGACAAAATTAAAAGGTGATTGATGAATTATTCATTTAAATAAATAAATAAATTATTTATTTATTTATTAAATTATTGTTTTACTTTGTTCGCACTTTGTTTCCGCAGTCGGTAAAATGAAAAACAAGGAAAACTATATTCAAATAACAGAGCACTTCTCTACAACAACGAGAGCTTCCAACTCCCACTTTGCAATTTCTCTTCCTGAAATAGGGCTCAGCGACTCAGATTTCTTCACGCAAGAAACTGCGATCAGCATCGCAGTACCAGCGGTTATCAAAGCACCAACCATGTTGAACATAGGGACATACGATCTTTCTATATCTGCGACAAGACCTTAAAAAAATGTAATCAATAAAAATTAAAAATCTATCAAGACTGCGAAAACTCTTCCAATTGTCAATTTTGCCGATCAAAATTTTCCTCCGACGAATGTTGAGGGGATTCCCGGCCACTGTACATTTGAAAAGTAAACAAAACTGAACTTTACCTCCAAGAGCCGGACCACAAGCTGAAGCAAAACAACTGAGGCAGTTAAAAGCCCCGATCCCCAACGGTCGCATTTTCTCTGGAAGACTGTTAATCACAGCAATGGCCAAACCACAACCCATTGCACCATCAGCCAAACCAAATACCACAAAGTATATCACGAGACTCAAGTTTGTGATTGCGAAGGGTAGCAAGAAAGTAACCACACATTCAACACCAGTGGCTATTGAATAGATATAGAACATATTGATCCAAGTGAAGTCGTTCAGTCGACCAATCATCGGCCGGATTAGCAAGGAAGCTAGACCACTGTAGATATACAAACGCGCAGCTCTACCCTCTTGGACTCCTCTGCCTTCCAAAAAACGAACCTGTAGCAGTAATCAAGTAGAAAAAGAAACAAGCTTTCGCCTCCGTTTTTTTCCCGTGAATTTTTAATAACGATGTAATGTGACACGATGAGGTGTGGCTGGTAATGTAAAACACGGGAGATGTGCCACATAAAGTTTAATGCGAAAGCATGACGTGAAGCAAGGGCCTCGCTAAGGGGGGATGGGGGAAGCCCGTGACCTTCTGTAAGTTAGCCTTTATGGTGTGGAGGTCGACATGAAAATCTGGTGAGTACCCCCTGTTTTTTTGGCCCTAACCCTAACCCTCCCCTCCTTTTAAAAAATCCTGGCTACGCCCCTGACGTGAGGTATACGAATGCGCGTGAGGATGGGAGTTATTTTGTTCATGATTGATATTTTATTACGTCGTGAAGAAAGCGATGTACGTGATCCAATCCGTTGAGTACTGGATGCGATTAACGATGTTTTCTGGGGATTTCACGGCCGAGACTTGATTCAAATTAAAAAACACAATGCATAAAATGCTAGGTGCGATGAGTGTGACTCTAGTTAACAAGTCATTTTTACCTACATTATACAAAGAGGGTTGGTTGTATGGGTATATTTCAGACTTACCATATGAACAGTTGGAGTATAGTGGCCAAGGTAGTACACAAACCCAGCTATTGTTACGAGAACAAACACTTTTTGCTCGAGGATCTTAACATCCCAGAATTTATCACCCTTTGCTGAATCACTATTCTCCTCTTTCATATCAGAGTCCGGCTCTATTGGCTTATAAACAAAAGCTGAAATACAAGTAACGGAGACAATACCAGCCATAGCCAAAAATGTTCCTCTCCAACCAAATCTTACGAACAGCTCGTGCACAACTGGGCTCATGATAAACATCCCTCCACCGGGCCCCATGGCTATGAGACCCAGACTAAGGGAGCGCCATTTCTTGAAGTATCTCGGTACCACTATGTAAGTCACCAGGTAGATGCCGCCGGAGCCAAAACCGAACAATAACCCGTATGTTAAATACATCAAGTAGAGGTTTGTCACTTTGGATGTGACAGCCAGACTAACTGCACAGATTATGGTTCCAACAAATGAGATAGCTCGAGCACCAAAACGACGATAGAGCCTGGCGATCAGTGGACCGTAAATGCCTATACCCATCATGGCGATGGATCCAACCCAAGCTGTTAAGAACATTACAACACTCAGTTTACATACACAACTTTAAAGAACCACAGGTGTCACTGAAGTTAATAATAATGTGATGATGCGCAACACCAGGAATCTATTTATTCCCCCTCATATTTTTTGTTTACTAGCGTTGTTGTTTACAGATTTTTATGGAGGCTTTTATTTTACGCTGAGTGAACAACGCTTTGCGAAGAATTCGGCGCTGTGTCCAAAGTAATAACTCACTTGAGAAGATAACCCTTAGAATGTGTGGTTGGAGGGAAGGATTTAACTCCCTACCCTTACATGTTTCTTCATAAGCTGTTTCTTTAATTGAATAACGATTGCAGCTACAACCTCAGCCTTACCTCATTACTAGGTACCAAATATGTGGAACTTACTTCCGGCCTTTCCACGTGGAAAAGTCAACTAGACAAAATTATTTACATGGCTAGTCTCAATATGTTGTTTTAACTCGACTATCACTTGAATGTCTTACCCTAAATATGCCCACCCGAGTCGAACTTATCAGAGACAAGTGGGTGACGTTCAAGGTCAGTAAACTCTCAAGGCAACCGTGATACAACAATAATAAAATGAAAAAAGTTAAGAAACTGCGTCAATCAATGAAAACCAGGAATTTCACTTCATTACAATAAAACAGACTCAGTCAATGACATTGTAAAAGACGAACAGCGATTCTAACCATAACATCAAGCGGGAAACGATCAGCGCTTGAGAGTCAAACAAACAAACAAACAAACAAAGATAAAAGTCTATGCTTAGATTGAGCGTCCTTCTTCGTTCCCGAGCTCGTTATCGACGACATATATGTGTAAATAAAGAAATTTACCTGATCTAGCTTTCCCTTGTTGAAACTCGTCCAAAATGGCAGGAAATAGAATTCCATAACTAAAGGTAAATCCACAAATTACGACGTTTGAGACAACAGCAGCAAAACACACCAACCAAGACCAACAGCCATCCTGATGAGGAGAAACATTTCTGATGCATGTAACAACCTGAACAGGCTTTAAAGTTAGGTCTGTGTCTCCTTCTTCATCCATGAGTAATTATCTTCTGAAGGAACTGTGAAAACGGAAATGGATCACAAGACACCTTAAACAGATCAGTGCTAAATAATTGTTTGAAAAATCTTACCCCAAAAAAAACACGCTGCTCTAAAACACGGCATTTCTATTTTTTCGCTACTCAAGACACTTTTGGCATCGTTAATTCTTTAAGCGTGCTTGAAAAATGTTTACCAGCAATAGAAATGACGTGGAACCAATGGCTGCATTACTTTCTCTTGATACCACTTACAAAACTTATCTCTGAAAGGTCTGTGTTAAAGCGCGCGAGTCTACAGAGAGCAACTCAACCTGGAAGGCAGAAATGCCAAGTTCCAAACACGAATTGCATGTCTGTGTGTATTTTTATTATTTTTTCTGTCTGTTTGAAATGTCACGCATCGAACGACGTCGCAAAGAACAGCCGCCAATTGAATGTGTTTAATCGAGTCAACTAACACCAAGAATAGCCGTCGAGGACTAAGAGATGAGTCTACATGAAGTACAACAGTTGAGGATCGACCAAAAATTTCTTAATTTCAAAATAATGACGGTTACCCCCAATTCTTTATTAACGGCAGGGCTATTCCCGATTTAATTTTCATATAAGAACCGAATTTAAAAGGAAAGAGGTTTAACAAATATCGCTCTATATTCATCGTCCACAAATCGAAATCGATGCTTCCTGAGGCATATGATTGTAGTCCTTCTTAATCGGCATCTTCAATCTTGCAGTGAAATCTGGAGGTTGTTGATATCTTAAACAAAACTGAGTGACCGTGGATAAATGAACCTGCATAAACGTGTTCGTCTTTTAACAAAGTTCAGTCGGCAGAAAATTCCGGAAATTGAATGATGTTGTGAAAGTACTAACAAAATATAATTAAAATTAACAGGTTTTGCGGGTAATGAAAACCTTTCAAATGCAAATATTTTTTTTAGTTTTTAGCTTCATCTATCACAGCTGGTCGACATTTCGACGCGACGACGAACGCGGGTACTAAAAACACCAAATTTTAAACAATATTAATTACAAGCTGCCAGTCTTTGTGGAGGGTAAAATCGGTTGTGCATCATAGTAAAAAATTTAAATGTAATTTAGTCGTTTTCGACCATTTCAGAATATTCACACCGATATGGTGCAATGACCTTATATTTGGTTGTCACATCATAAACACTAAATGTGCGAAACGCAGCGGATGAGAAGAGTGTTGGCAAAAAATAACATGAGAGAAGACGAATACATGACGTTACATGAATTTACCTTCGCTCTCCTGTTTTTCCTGGTGAGTTATTACATCGCAGGCGACGAGCCGGGGAAGAAAAATAATCTGAAATATAAGTGGTCAGCGTTAAACTAGCCCCAGTCCCTGATGAAGAGACAAATCATTCCTAGTTGCAGTAAATAGTCGTGTTTTAAAGCCAGAAATTGTACCAGTGTACATCGCTAATTAAAAAATAAAGCAATATTTTAAAAGCGTTGACTGTAAAAAATGTTTTCATTGCTGTAATTACATTCATGGCCAAGAAGAATTGGAGTTACGTTTGTAACTTTCTGCGTAGCGAAAAAAAAAGTATATCGACTTCCCGTTGTCAAAAATGTCAAGAGCAACTCTAGCTTCTTGAGTGCTCTCCAAACTTCCCAAGTGCTTCGTATCTCGATGAACGCACAGCTGACGTATGAACCAATTGTTTTATAACATTTTCAACAAGGTGGAAAATTGTTTTTTCTCGAGGGATTTGTTTGCTGACGTCATGAGCGTGCACAATAGGAATATGAAGCACTCTCGCGCAATTGAATGTGATAACACAAATTTACTGGCTATGTTATAATCAAATTTGGCTTGAATCTATGTTGTCTTTTCCAGAGGATAGAGTTAATATTTCAAAGCTTACTGAAACATTCAACCTGAGGATGAATTTAATGTCATGTATAGACCTTAATCTGCCAAGATAAGTGTTGTACCGAAACCTTTGTATGGCTCTGAATTTGAAAGAGAGAAAAAAAAAGGGAAAAAGTAAAAAAGGAAAACTTTCGTTTAAGAACAAATCTTTCCGGCAAAAGATAATTACAGTTCAATCATAAAAGGGGGGCTCATTGAAACTGGAGTAATCTTAGGGTGTGTTCCTTTGGGGGGATCCGGGTTTGGATTTGTGATCCAAGATCACACAGATCACGGTACATGAAACAAACGGAATTCTAGACGAGCTCTCAGAGAATTCCAAAAAGTGCGCTATTTTAAGACCTGTGTAGGCACGTGGGTTATGGAGCTCTTCACTGAATGGCTCGTCTAACTGCACGGGCTTTTAGCGCGCACTATTCATCAGAAGGACATTTTTTCATGGTAAACTCAAACGATGGAATTAAAACAGAAGTAGGTATTAATTACAATATGGATAATTGGGAACCCTGAATGCCTGCGATCAGTGGCCGATCGATTTAACATTACAAAATCGATTTTATTTCGTGTTTATCGCAGAATTTGTAGAGCGATTGCCAACAATCTTTCCGGTCAACATATGAGGTACCTACTTGTTTGAAATTGAGCACCGCCAGGCAAAGTGATTAATTTCGGATCCTTCGCCCAAAGGAACGCGTTGGATCAGTGATCCAATGATCCGTCTTTAGAAGACACAGATCAATGATCCGATGAATCCTTGTCCAGAGTGGATTTTATAGATCACTGATCTGAAAATGGATTTGCTCGAAAGGAACGCCACAGATCAGAAATCCTGATCCGGATTCTCCCAAAGGAACGCACCCTTATAGTCGGCCTTATTCTGCTTAATCATAATACATTATCCCGCTTGACATATAAACCACAAGAGAATTTATATCTCTTGCATACCAGTATACCTTGCCAATTTTTTTTTCGAATTACAACTGAGTGCAACGACAATAATAACACCTATGCTAGTTTAAATCGATTATATTGCTGAAATCACAACGTTTGTGGTTTATCTGTAAGTTGAGGCTTTCGCTTCGAGCAAAATACCGCATGTAGTTTTGGTCCCAAAAATATTTCGTGACAAATACCTGCTAGTGAACAAGTCTTAATGTATTCCTAGGGCAGCATTGCCTAAAAATTATCTGATATCGGACTTTCCGTGGAATAACAAGCACGGCTTTGAGTTCTATTCTTTCTCTCATATTATGATCGCATTTCTTTCCACGTATAAATGTGACTCTCCACTTGGTTTCAGGGAATAAGGTGAACGCATGCACACTGCACGTCATGACACGCTCGCACGCTAATGGCATGACACGCTTACTGTGCAGATATGTGCATAAAAACAATTTATTTTGGAAAGCGTGTTCGAAGCCATTGTCCATATCTGGCTAACACAATAGAGCTTTGTTTTAACACGCTAGATTTTTCTGTTTTGTTTTAACACGCTAAGTTAGATGATTTTAGATATATGAAATTCATATATTTGCACTGCGGTGAAGAAACGAAAATAAGAGATCCTCGCAGCTAACAACACTACTAACTAAGTTCCTTTGTTTCCTTAACACGCTAGCCTATCTTGTACAACCCAGCTTACTTTGTTACTTGTGTTTGTCAGCTTCTTAATTGTGAGAATGGTGTTTGTAAAGTATATCACTTATAGAATTTATGCGGAAATGAAGATCTTCTCTCCTGATCGAAAGTTCTAGTAAAAAAGGAAAAATTCACGGCAAGCCACGGCTCTTTCCCTCAGGATTTTCACAGTGAGCACGACGTGTTCCACAAGGTCCAGAGGAGCTCAGTTTGAGCACATGAATTACTTTTTTAAAATTTAATTCTTACCTTGTAAAATATAACTCCTTATTGCTTCACGGAGTTATTATGCCCAGTACCGAATCTTTGGGAATCCTTTAGCAACAAATTTCCGGCTCCATGTCTCCTGATCGACGCGGTCGCTGTTCGTCACTTCATGCAAATCTGCATTTTTAAAAGAAGTAACAGCTAGTTAGTCGGCGCAAAACGAACCTTTCCGAGCGAAGCCGCGTGTTATTTACTGTAAGCTGATCTTGGCATCTTACGAGCTCTTAGTCTAGAGCACTGCGGTATTTACCTTGCGTAACGCAACTGCAACGTCGATATATTCGATTATGTTTGGCAATTTAGCGACCGAAGTTGCACTGGATATCGAGTATCGTATCGGCCAGGCGTATCGGTGAGCTGAAAAGCCTTACAGCTTAGGACGTACTTCTTATGCAAATCGAAAGCAACTTAAACTTTAAGAGGCGTGTTATAAAGACAATGACTGCGAAGTTAATGAGGCGAGTAACTAACACGCAGCTAACTTGTTAAAACTGGTTCTTTTGTTTTAGCGTGCGAGCTTGCCGTGTACGTGCGTTCACCTTATTCCCTGAAATCCCGTGGAGGATCACAAATGTTAAAGAAGCTGCCCCAAAACTTAGCAGAGGATTGCATTGCTCTTCAAGCTTTGCGATTAGACCTTACTTCAAATCATTACTCTTTCAGGCTCCTGTCTTTCAATTATTGAGAAACAAAAATAAAACTATTTAGGAATTGGCCGCCCAAAGAGATTGTTCAACTTTATAACTCTTGGTCACCTCTTTATGCTTACGCCTTTGGCGGTTTGCAAGTTTTATATTTTTTTTGGTTTGGTTTTGTTTTGTTTTTATTATTTCTTATATTAATTTTTGTTTGTTTGTCTGTTTAATGTCGAAACGCGAGTTGAGACTAACACAATTCTTTTACGGGGGAGGTAAGGGTAAGGTTGATGTTTTGGGTTTTTAGGTGACACAGAGCAAAAAAAATTGAAACTAATTTTGGTTCAGTTTTTCATTAAAAAGTGAAGCTTTTTCACTGGCATAAAATGCAGACAAGTCAATTATTTCTATGTAATGAAAATTTGATATCGTAACCTTAATCTTATTATCATGGGATTGCAGTTGACATATGCACGTGTTTGAGCAAGGATTGTGAAGGGAAAGTGACCAGTGCTTCGAGCGACCCCCGATCGGTCGGGTTGAGGGCTTCCCGAGGAGATAATATTTAATAGATAATTACTGAGGTTCGCAGCATCATACCCAATAATGCTGCGAACCGAAGTAATTAACTATTATAATTATTGACCCTCATAAAATCCTATTGTTCTCTCTCTGCATTACATCGACGATTTCAGTCGCCCCTTCATATTGATGTTTTGGTACACCAACAATGCAACTGGCAAGCATTGTCCAGTAATAATACAAATTGCATAATCCTTTTTCATTCCCCAATTCAGCCATTGTTAACTACTTGCAAAGATGATATAATCATTGACTCTCATGAAATCCTACTATTTTCTCTCTCTAACAATGCAATTAGCACGTATTGTCTAGTAGTTATACAAATTACATAACCCTTTTCATTTCCCGGAATTTAGTTATTGTTAAATCCTTGTAAAGATTATGTAACTTTCCACATCTTTCAGGTGTGTGATTGAATTTCATGCAAACGTAATTTGCATTGTATATTAACGCAATGCACTTGGTTATTTGAGTTGTTTGTTGGAAGGCAAAGAGTTGCTACTGTTTTGAAGCTTGATGGAGGATTCTTCGGAAGACGAATCTGCCATTTTCATAACGCAGAGCCAGAGGTCGTTTTAGACGAAAACCAGAGCGAAGATTATAATCAGTCAGTTGTAATTAGTACTCACAGTACGAAAATTGTTATTTCTTACAAGTGAGAAAGACTGTCATTGTCAGATGTGCCCTAAATAAACTGTAAAATGTTTTCGTCTGTACTTCTCCTGGAATGGTACTTCTCATGGTGTATTCATTTACTTTTTAACTTCAGATCTTCATCATAAATTATGCACAGACATTCGCGAATTTTCAAAAATTACTGAGTGGAAAAGTAACGAAGTAAATACCACAGTCATGCAGCAATATTAAAAATATTGCTGGAAGCAGGCTGCATTATTAAAAATATTGCAGTGCAGCCAGCCCACTGCAATATTGAACGTTTTAGCGCGTTTAGGATTACCCCTGATAATTTCCCTGCTACCAAAAAGGACCGCCACCGTTTTCCTCAGACAGTTGGACTTGACTGAATATGAATATTTTCTCAGGCTGAAATCGCCGATATAATGCTGAGAGAGAACAATAGGATTTTATGAGGGTCAGTAATTATTACTTTTTCCCTCAGGGGTCACGTGAAAAAGCTGGTTCAAAGGAAAAAAGCACAGTAGTCTTCTACGAAACCATTCGAGGGGTAGCGTGACTGCAGAAGTTTTGCTAATCTGGTGAGGATAATTAACAGATTGAGGGCATGTTTCATTTATTTCAAATCTGTATATATTCTTGCAGAATCGACGCAAAAAGGATTTGGAAGGATTTGGATGTCAGCTCAGCAAAGTACATGCAGCCTTGAGTCGGGTTTGCTTGCAACCTTAACAAGCAGTGCGACAGTTTTGACCTGTAACCTCTGAGGGTTACGTTAGGGGTTACATTATTAATAGTCAGATTGTTCGATTCGATTGTGAACGCCGACAGGTACCAGAAACATTTGTGTACGAATCTCAGACCGATTCAAAAGTAGATATGCACACGTAGTTTTTAAAAAAAATTAGCTGAAACGCCTCGTATGGGCGGCCGTCACCACCAAAAATACAAGGATGTCAAATAGATCAGCAAATACAAAGCTGGTTAAAGGATCAGCTGCAGGATAGAATAGCTAATAAAGGAATGGCATGACCAAATTATAGACGGTTTAGTTTTCCTTCATGAAACAGAACACCCTAAACATGGATAGCTTAGCCAAATGATAAACGGTCTAGTTGCCCATGTCGAGTTGGAACATGAAATTGTGAAATGGACTAGCTCAATTACGAATAGCTTAGCACTCATTTGCAATACAGTAAACAAACAGTGTAGTGTTGCGTCAAATAGCACAGGGTAATGTCGAGTAACACAGCGTATGCACAAATGGTGTAGCGTTACGTGAAATAGCTCAGCGTAATGTAGAATGGTACAGCGTACATACAAACAATGTAGCGTTGCTTGAAATGGCTCAGCGTAATGTCGAATGGTATAGCCTACACACAAATGATGTAGCGCTGCGTGAAATGGCTCAGCGTAATGTAGAATGGTACAGCGTTCACACGAATGGTGCAGCGTCATGTCGAATAACTTTGCAGAACATAAGACGCTCTATCTGAACATTAAATTGCTTAGCATTATGCGAAATATTTCGATGTTGTGGCGAATCGTCGAGCTTGCTTGTGGCGTGACATGAAGGCTATCTCGCCGAAACCACCAAAAATACAAACCGCAAATGGAACAGCGATCTGCTGGGGGCATGACGTCATCTAATGCGAAGACTGCCGCGAAACCATCACATGGTGTAGTCGCTGTGTTGAAGAGTCTTCACTTCGCCTTGCCGTAAAGCAGAGCCAATTCAGTGAGTTTCTCCTTTTTCCCCCGCCGATATTTCATTTATTCGTTGTCGTTCATGGAAGCGTTAATTAAAATAGTAACGAGACTGGATTCTACCACATTTTTCAATCAAACATGTAGTTTGCCAAAGTAACCTTTTTCCGAGTCGGTTTTATCGTCCGGCACACTAATTAAAGCATTCCGATATCACTTTGATTGAAAAATGTCAAAACAGATCAAGGATATTAGTTTTCCTACCATGGCGTCCAAGGCACACACAAAATTCAACTTCTCACGTACTCCTCCAATGTTTAAAGAGCCGTTGAAGTTGAACTCTCATTGAAAAGTAAGTGTGAGTCAGAGAAAGAAAAGAGAGCTCGACAATCGACATTTAATGCACGTCATAACACTACTTAATACTATAAACATATTCAGGCCCACCAACGCGTGCAAACTTTGGTAAACGGGAGGCCAGTGTCACAGCGGATTTGGTCCGGTCCAAAATAAAACAAAAACCCAAAAACCACCAAAAACCAAAAACCACCGGTCCAAATCTGCTAACGGATATGGACCCCCCTTCGCAGATTTGGACCCCTTACCAAACGTTCCTTTTAAGTATCGTTTGTATCATATTTGGTAACTTATTCTATTTACAAGCTTTTTGTCGATTTTCTTTTCAATCACAACACAACATTCCTCAATAAAGATAAAGAAAAACAGCCATTTCGCTCCAATCCTGCCGCATTTATTATAGCGAGTCATAAAGTATATACGCAAGAATTAGATACGAACAAACTACTGCATTCGAACGATTGAAATTGTAACAATAAATCTTTGCTTCTTCTGATGCGAATCAACATTGATACGAAAAGTCATAACAATAGTGGAGACTACTGCGTCCAGTCACAAAAATAACTCAGTCTGATTTTCTAGTCAAATAACATTAAACAGTTTCTGAACAAGAACGAAGTAACAACCCTACGACAAGTCGTTCGTAAGGCCTATGATAAGAAAAAATGTTTCTATTTTGAACTATTGCAACTCCCAGCTTATTTTCAGATGCAAATCAACATTAGTGTCTACGTCTTAACAAAAATGGAGACTATTTCATCGATCTCAATCTCATTTTCTAATTTTAACGATTATTAACTGTTGAGGGATCTGAAATAACAAACTCGCACTGTATCATGTCGTCCCAACACTTGGGCATTGAACAATAATAAAATAAATTAGTGTCATAAGTTTGTCTCTTACTGAATCTAGCGGTGTTCGACTATCGCGGATGTGGTTCAAAAACGACCTTTCTCCTAACATTGAGCTAAATGCTTGCACATCTTCCCTTGGTCAAAAGAAACATCGGAAGGGTCATTTCTAGCTGCCAGTTCGTATGCATCGGCGATACGAATTAAAAATTGAATTAAAAACATACTTTAGTACGCACTGAAATATTAAGTATTACCTCTTTCTCCGAGAACGTTAAGGATGATGTTTTCACTCAGTTCTGTTGGGGGGTCCATATCCGCTTGCGGATTTGGACCGGGGGGTCCAAATCCGCTAGGACACCGGCAACCGTGGTAGAACTCAGTCTCGTTCCTATTTTAATTGACGCTTTCATGAACGACAACGAATAAAGGCAATATCGGTAGGGAAAAAAAGAGGAGAAACTTACCGAATGGGCTCTGCTTTACGGCAAAGCGAAATGAAGACTCTTCAATACAGCGACTACGCCATGTGATGCATGGTTTCGCGGTAGTCTTCACATTTGATGACGTCATGCCCCCAGCAGATAGCTGTTCCATTTGCAGTTTGTATTTTTGGTGGTTTCGGCGAGATAGCCTTGGCGGCCGTCACCAC